CTGCATGCCTTCGTGGCTTGCACAAACTCCCTGGTTCTGGTGTGGAATTGCGTTTCCCAATCTCAATGCATGCATTGGATTTCTGCGTCCAAATGTTCTCTCCATTCAGCGTAGATCTATCTTTTCTGTCGTTGTGAATCGGTTATGCTGTAAGTTGAATATGCAATCGTATATGCCAAATTTTGCTGTATCCACCGTTCTCGTAGAAATCTATGAGAGCACACCTAGGTAGCAAGAATGATCTCTGCACCTCTTATCCGAATAAAGTGGAAATTCGCAGCATGGCGATTTTCATTTGGGAAGTGATGACATGAGGATTAGGCCAAGATGTAAACTCGTGTCCACCACTTTTACAAGTCTATTCCATCGAAGATAATCCCTCCATCTCTTGTCAGCAAAGGTGCCTCGTCATTTGGGAGTGAAGTCAGTGGAAATTACTGTGAGTGCAGTGGATCGACAGTGGAGCCGCGTCAACAATCATGAGCGTCGCAATCGCTTCGTCTGTTCACTCTTGTCATGCACAAAGGCTGAACGTGGAATACCTCGCAGCTGTGTATTGACTTTGACAGCACTACAATTATTAAGACCCATGGGCGAAGACTAGGAAATGCTCCGCAAGTGGACTCAACTTGTGGGGAGACATCTACGATTGCACAATCTTCAGGGTGCAATCATATCTTTCCCATTAGCTTGTCTTGCGTCTTTTGCTTTCACCAAAAGCCCTTCCCGTCTAGTAGTCATTGCTCCTATTGCTGCTGTCCTCCACATTTCAACAGTGTACACGGGATTCGATTAACATCCACCCATTTCCAACAATTCTGTTAACCGTTTATTTGCAACCAATTATACTTTCTCTAACCAGTGGTGCTTTGCAAATGCAAGTCTGTCCAAAGGAGTGGTGAATGTGAGATTGATATGGCTTTCATTGCGGCGTGTCCTGAAGCAATTTCACGTGGTGACATCAATTCGACTCGGAAATAGAGTTTATATTTAAATAAACCTTCCCAGTTTCAGTCAACTAGTCCTATGCAAAGAAGCTGACGTGCGATCTGTACTAGTTAGGAAGTTATCAATTCTAAGCGGTAGAACACCTAGAAAGTAACTCCCAACACTTCACAATGCGGGCGAAACAGCGGATCCATCGAAATAGACAAGATGTGCCAGTGACATTCGCGGTGGCCCAGACGAATAGGTCTGCTGAGACCATGCTCCCATGTAGCTACGCTAATTACCATAATCAGGCATTGTGCTCTCAC